AGAAATCAAAACCAAATCATTTTATTCACAATATTTTTTTGCTTCAAATGGCTATTATCGTAGATTCGAAAACAAATAGTTTTATTTTATTTTATTTTATTTTAATATAAAACTCATAATCACAATTGAAAAATTCGTTTAAAGATATGCATTTCTATCAATATCAAATTCATCAACGTAATTACCATCGTGATTCAAGACATACGCAGTCCCATGTTGATCAAATGCTAAATCAGCTGATTGACTAACAGTATATTTTAGCTCACTAATAATGTTTACTCATCATTTATCAAATCGATTTTGAGGATTTAGAAATAAATTTTTAGGACTTTAAAAGTTCAGAAATATTGCTGACACCAGTTTTTGAAGATTTCCATCTCAAAATCCTTAAAACTAGACATATTTTGATTTAGAAATACGAATCAACTCTGTCGACTTTTTGAAATAGAAAATATGACAAAACTTGTTTTCACTGGTTCAACTAGTGAACTTGGCTCAATTGTTTTATAGAATTTGCTTAAACTTCTAATTGATTCTTTAGATATAATTTTTTCTTGAAGATGAGGATAATAAATAAATTGCAGAGCATCGAAATGTTATATGCAATGATACTTGAGAAGTACAAATGATGACAATACATTTAATTATTGCAGACTTAGCCAATGCTTCAGGTCTCAAATATACAATCATTTGTCAAGGCATTTATTCTTAAACTTAGTCAGTGTTTGTTGAATATTTTGATCTAGCAACAAGAACTGAAATTGTTGTTGTTTCAAATAATGATGCTAGTAGTTTTCTGTCAAGAAAACTTTTTGATTAAGCAACAGCTATATTATGGTGAAAATATACTTAAAAAAATGAACTGTAGGGTGGTCTAAAAGTCGATTTCTGTAAAAAAAATTGAATGACTTCATTAAGAGTCAGGCAAATGAGATGGTTTTTTTGTCAATGTTAGAGGCGTGTTTAAGCTTTCTATCTATAAAGACATATTCAGAAAGACCCTTTACTAAATATATCTCTCTTTTTTTTCCTATTTGTGATGAAGTAAATTTTTTTTATTAAGATTAATGGGTATAATTAACATAGAAGTTCTCTGAGCATGACTTTATCGATATAAACTTTGAACATGCTTCTATCATTAATAAAACAAAAACCATCTCATTTGCCTAAGCCGTAATGAAGAAATCCAATTTTTCTTGAGCAAACCGACTTTTGGGTCAGCCTGTATGACCATTTTTTCCAGGAATACACAATATGTTTGAATTTAAGTCCAGCTAATTAGGCAGCAAGATTGATTTGAAGATATCAATTTTGATCAAATTTATCTTATATATAAGTTCAATGTCCATCGAAGCATTACTCAATTTAATTAATGATAGCATTTTGTCATGTATCCTAAGCTTTTTGATTGAGCGTATTGATACATTTGCATAATACGAAGATTGACTTTGATGTTTTATTTTTAAGAACATAGTGATAACTTGTTTTTTTTATATATTTATATATAAATTAGAATTTTACGCATGAAAAAATTATCTCTCATGTTGGCATAAGACGGCTTTTTATATTATTCAATACAAAAAATAATAATCGGCATAAAAGAAATATTAATCTTTAATTGTGAATAGATTTAAGATCAAAGTGACAGTTGTCACTCATTATGATTCCATTCATACTATGGTACTAAATGAAGAAATTCATTTTCTTGATGATTCTCAAGATAGAAAAGCTCAGCTACAATTTGTATCAGTATACTGTCATTTTGTAATTCTGTTAAAATCTTTTAGAAATATCCTAAACATGTTTTTGTTAACATAGAATTATGTTGTGCCTGGCGAATATATGTTCGACAAGTAAAGACATTTCAACGTATGTAAAAAAATCATGGTAAAAGTTTTACAGTACAAACATATAAATCTATTTTAATTTGCTTATTTTTGTCTATCGTATTTTGTCAAGTAAGATAAATATTTATGAAACGTTTCCTATAGATAATTGTCAATTATTACTAATGAGAATAATTAGACGAAATGAACACGAACTTCATAAATAATAGTTCATTAATGCACACAATAATTTTTCTTAACTACTCAGATTAATTGTTAAAATTTATCCTTCATGAGAAAAATACACAGTTGCATCCCATAGGACATGAAAATGTCAGTTTGTTTGCAAAAACCAATATTTGATGTTTGAAAATTTGAAACCTTTTTATCGTTAACTTTTGAGATAAACAACACTAAAATAGTAGACTTCTTTTCGATTTTTTATTGTTTTTCTTTTATAAAACGCTACACATATATTTATCTTACTTGATAGGAGATTATAAGTTTCTATCCCACAATATAAACTAATTTGATGACAGCAAGAGAAAGATATTTTATCTTATTTGTCGTAATATTATTTATAACCTACGCTATATAATAAATTTTTATACTCACCTGAAAAGTCATGGATTTTGTTAGTCTTTCTAATATGTTATAATTGAGAACATCAAAAGAATCTTTGTAGAGTGCACTCTGTCATAAACATTTTATTTTTATTATTATCCGAAACTTTTGCAATTTATAACAGAAAGTCTATGAAAAAAAAAGTTAAAAAAACAAGATTTTTTCATGATGAATATCTACTGATGTAAGTATTCACAATATTCAAATTTTCCAAAGCTCGTATTTGTTACACTATATTTATATCAAGAGTATTCCAAAAATTCTGAAGTAACTTTGAAATAGATAGTTCTTGCATTGAACATTAACAAACTCTTTGAAACTTTTGCAGATGATTTTATGTACATAGTACTAAAGAACTACAAACTTTCAGGTCTATAACTTTTCATATGGATGAAAACCTCTGACAACAGTGTCATGTACTATTTCTTTCAATTTTTCTAATCATCTTGTTTGTTATTTTCAAAACAATACAACTGTTCGAAATAAAGAGTTTATCCATTATTCATTGAAGTAAAAAGTTTTATAATCTTCCTTTGTTTTTCAACTGATGGTTAAGACTGATTCTTAGATATAATATTTGTTTAAAGAAGAAGAGAAATTTCATTTAAATTAATTAGATAATCAATTCGTGTTGCTTTGTTCTTTAAACGAATATTATGTCAAAGAATCAGTCTTACCCATCAATTGAAGAAGAAGGAAAAATTGTAAAGTGAGAAATATTTTTAAAAAGGAATGAAAGAAGTTTACTATTTTTTATTTCAATGAATAATGGAGAAACTCTTTATTTCGAACAGTTGTATTGTTTTGAAAATAATAACCAAGATGATTCAGAAAAGCTAGTTAGCATAGCTCCAGAGGAGCTGAAATGT